CGAGCAACAGTGGAGGACACTAACACGAAGACCAACAGTGGAGGGGACACTAACACGAAGACCAACAGTGGAGGGCACTACACGAAGAGTGACAGTGGAGGGGGACACTAACACGAAGAGCAACAGTGGAGGGGGACACTAACACGAAGAGCAGTGGAGGGGACACTAACACGAAGAGCAACAGTGGAGGGGGGACACTAACACGAAGAGCAACAGTGGAGGGGGACACTAACACGAAGAGCAACAGTGGAGGGGGACACTAACACGAAGACCGTGGGGGGAACCACGAAGACAACAGTGGAGGGGACACTAACACGAAGAGCAACAGTGGAGGGGGACACTAACACGAAGAGCAACAGTGGAGGGGGACACTAACACGAAGACCAACAGGAGGGGGGACACCAAGAAGAGTAACAGTGGAGGGACACTAACACGAAGACCAACAGTGGAGGGGACACTAACACGAAGAGCAACAGTGGAGGGGGACACTAACACGAAGACCAACAGTGGAGGGGGACACTAACGAAGAGCAACAGTGACACTAACACGAAGAGCAACAGTGAGGGGACAGTGCACGGGTTTTCAGTAGAGTGTAAAATACACAGTATCACAGTGTGACAGCTGAGAGTGACGATGGACAATGATGCTAACACAGTATCATGGACAGTAACCGTAGAGGTGACGCTGGACAGTGACGCTAGACAGTAGCAGGAAAGTACAGCTCGAGATGGGAGATGAAACAAGACTGAATAAGAAATATAGTTAAAGGAGAAAGAAGATAAATGAAGTACAACCATTAATAATCATCGGAATACAATAATAAAAACAATAATGACTGAATTTCACAATACTTAGAACTGATATATTGATATTGTGCTCTCTCTCTCTCTCTCTCTCTCTCTCTCTCTCTCTCTCTCTGTCTCTCTCTCTCTCTGTCTCTCTCTGTCTCTCTCTCTCCTCTCTCTCTCTCTCTCTCTCTCAAACAATATCATACTAAAAGGATCTCGACCCATTAAAAATTGGAAAAATCTGCCTCTGATACTTAATAAAAATTGCAAAAAAATATATTTTTCTCCAATTATACAGCACCTCTGATTTACAATACTCTAATGGTACAAAAAAGCTAATTATTTATTCTTTTTGACTCCTCTATCCTGAAACAATTATTTATTTCAATGAACTTATTAAAAAAATCAACTTTCCTTAAAGAATCTGTTTGTTTTTTTTTCTAATATTTTGTTTTTCTTTTTATTTATTCTTTAGTTGTTCTTTTGTTTTCTCTTAATTAATGATTGTAATTTTATTATTATTCTCTTTAGAAATTTGTGACTGGCATTAGTGATTGTAAGTGTCCAGTGGTTGATGTAGACGTCAGTGATTAGTAAGGTTATTTTCATTGTCAAAGGATTGTAAAAGTTATTGTAATTGGCGAATATTTAATACGGCCATCAGCGATTATAATTACCCAATCCACTGTTCATATTTTTTTTTCTGTTCATAAAATGTTTACTGGTATTTTTCCATTCATATTTATAGTTTTGTGTTCATTGCAAAATATTTTTTATGCAACATTTTAACTTCCGGTGATGTCTACTTTCGTTGTTCTTCCTTGCAGTGTATGTGTTTTATATGTATATTTTGATATGTGTATCTTTTTTAGTGTTAAAATAATTGGAACAGTGAAATATACCTGCAATATATATATATATATATCTCTCTCTCTAGTGTGTGTGTGTGTGTTAATAATAATAATAATAATAATAATAATAATAATAATAAATAATAATTAACGGTTTACTGATAGAGCATGGCAGCTGGAAGCTGAAAAATAGTTAATAATTGGGGAATAGATCACTTGATTGATAAATAATGTGCAAGTAACATAAGTGATACAAATATGATAAATAATAACAGGTGGGGAGAAGGTAAGATTGGCTGGGAGTGAACATGACTGGTTGATTACGAGTTGTTGATAATTTTTACAATGGTTGGGACTGGGTTGTTCTTATAGCGATCAGTACGTGCTTGTATGGGCTGGATGCGGTTGTGGTGTCGAACAGTAATTCGCGGACGAGAGATCTCGGGTGGAAGTACAGTAGGAGCCGGTGTCGAGGATGGTGCAGAAGCTTCTCACCAAATTTGCAGATGAGATCTCAGGGCTAATCAGAGAGTGCCGAGGGGGTCAGTGTATGAGCGCTTCTTGATATGTGGGGTAGGAGAGGGAGAGAATAATCTTGCATGCCCTCTTCTGCACTTTTTCTAGGTGTTTACGTTGTGTGGCCTTTATGGAGGAAGACCAGGCAGGGGAGGCAAAGTGAACTTGGGAAGTATGAATGTTGAGTAAGCAATGAGGAGCTCTGGCGCAGGAACTCCGAGGGACTTGAGTCGCCGGAGGAGGTATAGACGGAAACTGGAGGAGTTCACAATTGTACTGACGTGTGTTGGGGCCCACAGTAATGGAGGAAGGTGGGACAAGGTCGGAGGAGAGGTTGATGTGCATAACCATGGTTTTGGTATGGTTGAGGATGACATGGTTGTTGGTGGCCCAATTTTGGAGATTGTTCAATATATTCTGGAGGGCGGTGTAGTCGAGAGCCGAGTTGTTGACACTGATCCCAATGGTGGAGTCTTCGATATATTTCCAGCGACCAGGGTTTCTTAGGGCATCATTGATAAGCATAAAGAAGCAGAGGTCCCATCTTGTGCTCTTGAGGACGCTACAGGTGAGTGACTGAAAAGGGGATACGGCCCTCTGAAGCGTACAGCTTGGCGCGTCATGTCTGTGTCATGGTATATATAGACTTCCGGAAACCCGAGGTCGATAGCTTTATTGATGATTAAATTGTGGTCGACTAGGTCAAATGCCGGGTGAAGTCAATGAAGGCGACAGCCACAGACGTCTTTCGTTTCTCCAGATGGCGGTATATGTAGTCGAGAAAGCTGACAAGACAGTGAGTGGTGGAGGAAGTTCTCATATTTCCAAATTTCTGAGGATCTATAGAGCATGCAATATCAGCATAAGCTCCAGTGTGTGTGTGTGTGTGTGTGTGTGTGATGGCGGGTCAGGTATTTCATCACGTCTCGGTGATAGATAGCTTATGTTGGCCTAATTGTCGAGTCACCTTCATCACATTGACTCTTATTGCACGGCCTCCTCCTCCTCCTCCTCCTTTGTCCTCCTCCTCCTCCTCCTTTGTCCTCCTCCTCTTCCTCCTTTGTTCTCCTTCCTCCTTGTCCTCCTCCTTCCTCCTTTGTCCTCCTCCTCTTCCTCCTTCTTCTCCTCCTCTTCTCATCGTCGTCGTTTTGTCGTCACTGCCGTCATCGCCCTCCTCCTCCTCCTCCTCCTCCTCTTCATTGGTTTATTGCTGTTGAATGCTGATTGGTTTATTGTTGTTGAACGCTGGGATTGGTTTGTAGTTGTTTGAACGCTGATTGGTTTATTGTTGTTGAACGCTGGGATTGGTTTATTGCTGCGAACGCTGGGATTGGTTTATTGTTGTTGAACGCTGGGATCGTTATTGTTGTTGAACGCTGGGATTGGTTTACAGTTAATGAACGCTGGGATTGGTTTATTGTTGTTTGAACGCTGGGATTGGTTTATATAGCTAATGAACGCTGGGATTGGTTTATGGCTGATGAACGCTGATTGGTTTATTGTTGTTGTTGAGCGCTGGGATTGGTTTATAAAGCATGAACGCTATTGGTTTATTGTTGTTGAACGCTGGGATTGGTTTATAGCTAATGAACGCTGGGATTGGTTTATGGCTGTTGAACGCTGGGATTGGTTTATGGCTGCTGGAACGCTGATTGGTTTATTTCTGTTGAACGTTGGGATTGGTTTATGGCTGTTGAACGCTGGGATTGGTTATATTGCTGAACGCTGATTGGTTTATTTCTGCTGAACGTTGGGATTGCTTATAGCTAAGAACGCTGGGATTGGTTTGGCTGTTGAACGCTGAGATTGGTTTATTTCTGATGAACGCTGGGATTGGTTTACGACTGATGAACCCTGGGATTGGTTTATGGCTGATGAACGCTGATTGGTTTATGGCTGATGAACGCTGGGATTGGTTTATGGCTGATGAACGCTGGGATTGGTTTATGGCTGATGAACGCCAAGTAAAATGCGCTCTTATAATACAAAGAAAAACCGAGATGAAATGATTATGAGAAATGCAGAACTCAATTTTTCCTATGAGAGAGGAGAGAGAGACCCGTAAATACCCTTTTCCAGCTACTTCCTCACCTCCTCCAACACACTAACCTCTTGTCCATTCCGTCCGTGTTTGACTTTCTGCCCATGTTTGACTTACTGCCCATGTTTGACTTATCGCCCATGTTTGACTTACTGCCCATGTTTGACCTATGCCCATGTTTGACTTACTGCCCATGTCTTCTGACTTACTTGCTCCATGTTTGGCTTACTCGCCCATGTTTGACTTATCGCCCATGTTTCTGACTTTAATGTCTATGTTTCTGATTTACTGCCCATGTTTGACTTACTGCCCATGTTTGACTTACTGCCCATGTTTGACTTACTGCCCTGTTTTGATTTGCACGCCCGTGTTTGACTGTGCTTGCCCGTGTTTGATTACGTCCATGTTTGACTTACTGCCCATGTTTGACTCCATTGCCCATGTTTGACTTTATCGCCCATGTTTGACTTACTGCCCGTGTTTGACTTACTGCCCGTGTTTGACTTACTGCCCGTGTTTATGGACCGTCTCATTAACTGCTTGTGAGGGATGATTGGTTACATTAAACGTTACTTGATTATGTGTTATCAGTAGTCAGCTGTTGACACTTCCTTACCAGTAGTGAGTCAACCATTAAGTGCCTCCTCACGACTTATTACCAACCTTGTTTGTTTCTGTCTTACAGGACGAGATGGTTGAGAAGGACCCGAGGTGTCCTCTTCTCCTGCAGTGACTACCGCCACCACTATCATGGCAGCACCTCCCCGCACAGCCTCTATCCGCCGCCGCCGCCGCTGGCATTACCTGCCGTATGGTGGCGGTGACAGCCTTCACCTTCGTGGGCTCCGCCATCTTGATACAACAACTGCTCTCCCCTCTTCCCTCGCTGCCGACCAGTCGTCCTCGCGGGTGCTACGGTCACATAGGGGGTCAAGAACCCTCCTGGAGGTGGACACGACCGAGACGGAGGACTATGATATCTCGACCTCCACAGAGTTTAGCAACGTGTCGGAAGTTCCTCCGGACGACCGCCTTCCCGCCAGATCTATTCACTCTAAAGCAGCGAAGGCAAGGCGCCATATTGCTGCACGTGCTAGGGATGATCTACATGTTCGTCGCACTGGCCATTGTGTGCGACGAGTTCTTTGTGCCAGCCCTCGACGTTATTATCGAGAAGCTTGCTAGATCTCTGAAGACGTGGCGGGCGCTACGTCTATGGCCGCGGGAGGCTCAGCGCCCGAGTTGTTTACCTCCGTCATTGGAGTCTTCATCAGTTTCGACGATGTTGGCATCGGTACCATCGTCGGCTCTGCGGTGTTTAACATTTTGTTTGTGATTGGTATGTGTGTTATTTTCCAAGACGGTGTTGGACCTGACGTGGTGGCCACTGTTCCGTGACGTGACTTTCTATAGTGTATCGCTCCTGCTCCTGGTGGCGTTCTTCAACGATAACAAAGTTTACTGGTACTTTAGGCGCTCATCATGTTCTCCATGTACATCACCTACTGTTCCTTCATGAAGTTCAACTCGACCATAGAGAGATTCGTCAAGACAAACATCAACAGGAACAAGGTGACTCGCGTGTGCTCCACCGACCAGCTAGTGCCAAACGTGAGTAGCCTGTCCCTCACCAATGCCGTGTACCTCGCTGCCAGACCTAGCTGCCCTCTCATCTCTCACACAGATTAACTAACTCAACCCTCTAATGCTCATAAACCCAAACATTTTGGTTTAGTTCCAACATGCTAACTGGTTACCACTCCGCTTTGGGTGCTGTAGAGTTAAGTAAAAGTCTTCCCAGAATGCGTGAAAGAATAACACAATATTTATACCCTTCACCACCACTATAGTAACACAAAAAATTATATATAGGGAAATGAATACCAGCGTAACAACTTTTTTATCAGTACATTATATATCGTCAATTTCTACCAAATACTAAAAAAAGTCCTCCCAATAAGATATTTTTTTTATATATGAATGACTGCCATCATCACTCACGGTGCAAATTACCCTAGAAATTATTTATTTCCATCCCTCCCGTCGGACTTTTCTTCCTTTTGCAGGTATATAAAAGACATATATATTTTATACAAACAAATAAATCACTGTAGATGCGCTTGATCCATGTATATGCTGATAACCACAGAGGAAAAGAGAAAACACGAAGGTTCCCAAGCGCTTTTGTGTAACTCGCCTATACTCACTCCTGAAGTTGTGAAATACACGGAAGCGCTTGAGAAGTTCGTGGTTTCTTCTGGCCCGTGTGGTTATCAGCATATTTTAAAATATACCTAACACATGCGTACATGACCTTTAATACTCCTACAGCATCCTCCTTCTTAGATGTCCTTAAGTTTTTATACGTGATAAAAGACACATTGGAGGAAATTAATGTTTTTAATGGAAAATTGGATACAAGTTGGAAATTTCAAATGGGCCGCCCGCCCAGTCCTTTTGACCCAACCTAACCTAATCTAATCTAATCTAATCTAATCTAATCTAATCTTAAGGGCCCCTCAGTCGTAATGATTAGGTTAGGTTGAGTTAAAATTGAGGTTCTGTAGGACCTAAAGCCCACTTGACCGGCACCTCGAGAATATACTTTAATACATGATACATATACTTACAGGATATGTATACAATTTGTATTTGATAATGTGGATTTATACTACACGTTCAGTTACACATGTTATATAGATCGGTGACAACGTGTAAATAGGTCAGGATGTATTATAATACCAGATGTGTCTAGGGCGTTCATACATACGCCAACATAACACACAGACGTTCATACATACGCCACCATAACACACAGACGTTCATACATACGCCACCATAACACACAGACGTTCATACATACGCCAACATAACACACAGACGTTCAAACATACGCCAACATAACACACAGACGTTCAAACGTCGCCAACACAACACACAGACGTTCAAACATGCATAAAAGAATTCACAGATGTTAATACATACGCCCAAAAAATTCTAAGGTTCAGATAGGCGCCAAAAAAATATATATATATACGTTCAAACGCCCACCTAAAAAATACTCTAGACGTTCAGGATACCAAAAAGAACTCAGGCGTGTGTTCTTAGATTCGTTCATTTAATAGCACCTTCCATCCCATTGCGTTTACGTTCCATCACGTGTGTGTGTGTGTGTGTGTGTGTGTGTGTGTGTGTGTGTTATCGTGATTGTCATGTACTAAAGATTTAGATCGCCTGACTCGCAGAGTAAGTGACATGACACTACTACTACTTTGCTGTCACTCGGAATCGAGTATGACGATCATCCAGCTATGATAATATGATATGAGTTATTAAGTGTGTCAACTTCGTTGGCGAGTTCTCAGGGTGACTAAAGAGGCCGTTACGGAACCGGCAGGGTCGTTCACAGATGTTGCATGGAAGGCTACACCTAGTGCAGGAGGCGGCGGCAGCGTCTTACTGGAGCTTGTCTGCCTCGGTTTGCAGTCAGGCTAATTGGCATTGTCACCTTCTCGTGTGGTGCTCCTCCAAGCGTTACGGTGTGGGTAATCGTCTCTCGGGTGAGGGGGTCGATTTGGCACTTTCAAGTTTGTCTTAAGACTATCCTATACCTTTTCAGTTGACCGCCAGCGATACGTTTACTACTCGTTAGATAACAGTAAAGTAGCTTCTTTGGCGGTCTACTGTCGTCCATCCGGGTAACATGGCCAGTCAATGTAGTTGATGGATGGAAGCCTCGATGCTCCTACAGTTTGTGTCAGCGAGAATATTGGCATTTGTTCTCTTGTCTTCCCAGCGGACTCGGAGGATGGAACGTAGACTACGTTGGTGAAAGTTTTCAAGTGCCTTGAGGTGCCTCCTGTATGTGACCCATGTCTCACTGCCATATAGCAGGGTTGGGAGGACCACTGTTCGATATACTTGCAACTTTGTAGATAATTTCAGCTCCCTACAGCTGAAGACATGGGTACGGAGTCTGCCAAAGGCTCGAGATGCACATCTGATCCGATGTTGAATCTTCATCGATGTTCGCGGGTGGTGGACGGGTGGGAGCCGAGATACTGAAAGTGGGTAACATTAGAGAGGGTAGTACCGTTAAGCTGGATGGATGGTGGTGTGGCTGAACCAGGGGCAGGCTGAAAGAGAATCTGAATCTTACGCACATTCTCCTCAAGGCCGAAGTGTGCAAACGCATCTGCATAGGTGTTCAGGATCTCCTGTAGGTCGCGTTCAATGTGAGCGACAAGGGTGAGGTCCTCTGCATACTGAAGTTCAGTAATGGAAGCTGCCGACATTTTTGCTCCTGCCTGGAGTCGTCCGGCACTCTATGTCCACCCCGCCAGTTAGATTGGCACTGGCACGAGTAAGGAAGGCAGCCAAGAAAATGGAAAAGAGAGTTGTTTTCCCCGTTTGGATGGAGAAGAACTCAGGCTGGGTGCCATTGAATAGGACACTGCCGTTTATGTCATCGTGGAGTTGCTTCACAATGACGATGAGTTTTGGAAAAATGGCATGACCACACACACACACACACACACACACACACACACACACACACACACAATTGTAAAGACACACACACACACACACACGTCACACAGCCACACACACGCGCACACACACACAATCTCCACAACATCGCGTGACTTAGACGAATCAAAGCGTTTGTCTATTAGTCAAAATTATGGTCCTGGGTTCTATATATACAGTATATATATAAATATAAACTGACATGGTCTACAATTTGGGGGGGGATATTTTTTGGATTTAAAGAATAATATTAACACCTGTGTACTCGTTTGTGTGTGTGTGTGTGGGAAGTGTGGTGACTTGGTTGTTATGGTAGTAATGTGTCAGTAGTGATGACAGTTGAAGTAGTAGTAATAGTTGTGAACCGAAGCATTGTTCGTGGTGGTGGTAGTATGGCAGGAATGTTAGTTGTAAGAATAGTAATAGTAGTTTTAAGTGAAGGAGTAGTAACAATAATAGTAGTAGTAGTAGTAGTTGAAGAAGCAGCAGTAGTAGTAGTAGTAGTAGAGTAGTAGTAGTAGTAGTAGTAGTACGAGTTTGAAGACTGTACTGTACCTCAAATTGTATTCAAAGTAAACACTTGGGTTGGTTAAGTGAGAGCGATAGAGTTCAAATTGAGAGCGGTAGAGTGCCAAGTGAGAGCGAAAGAGAGCCAAGTGAGAGCGAAGGGGAGCCAAGTGAGGAGCGGTAGAGTGCCAAGTGAGCTGTAGAGTTCCAAGTGAGAGCGGATGGGGTTGCAAGTGAGGCGATGGAGTGCCAAGTGAGAGCGGTGGGTTGCCAGTGAGAGCGGTGGGGTGCCAAGTGAGGCGGTGGAGTGCCAAGTGAGGCGGTGGGTGCCAAGTGAGGAGCGATGGGTGCCAGAGTGAGGCGGTGGGGTGCCAGAGAGTGAGGCGATGGGGAGTGCAAGTGAGAGCGATGGGTGCAGAGTGAGGCGATGGGTGCCAGAGTGAGGCGATGGGTGCCTGAAGTGAGCGATGGGGTGCCAGGTGAGCGATGGGGTGCCAGAGTGAGGCGATGGGGTGCTGAAGTGAGGGCGGTGGGTGCCAAGTGAGGGCGGTGGAGTGCCAGGTGGGGCGATGGGGTGCCAGGTGAGGCGATGGGTGCCGAAGTGAGGCTGTGGGGTTCAAGTGAGGCGGTAGAGTGCAGTGAGGCGATGGGAGTGCCAAGTGAGCGATAGGTGCCAGTGGGGGCCATGGGTGCAGTGAGGCGATGGGGTGCCAGAGTGAGGGCGATGGGGTGCCAGAGTGAGGCGGTAGAGTGCCAAGTGAGGGCAGTGGGTGCCAGTGAGAGCGATGGAGTGCCAAGTGAGGCGATGGAGTGCAGTGAGCTGTAGAGTTCAAGTGAGGCGGTGGGGTGCCAAGTGAGGGCGATGGGAGTGCCAAGTGAGGCGGTGGAGTGCCAAGTGAGGCTGTGGGGTTCAAGTGAGGCGGTGAGTGCCAGAGTGAGAGCGGTGAGGTGCCAGGTGAGGCGATGGGGTGCAAGTGAGGCGATGGAGTGCCAAGTGAGGCGATGGGGCGCCAAGTGAGGAGCGATGGGTGCCAGAGTGAGAGCGATGGAGTGGGGTGAGGCAGTGGAGTGCAAGTGAGGCGATGGGGCGCCAGAGTGAGGCGATGGGAGTGCCAGAGTGAGCGGTGATGGGTGCCTGAAGTGAGGAGCGATAGAGTGCCAAGTGAGGCGGTGGGAGTGCCAGGTGAGGCGGTGGGAGTGCAAGTGGGAGCGGTGGGGTGCCAGAGTGAGGCGATGGGGTGCAGAGTGAGGCGATGGAGTGCCAAGTGGGAGCGATGGAGTGCCAAGTGAGAGCGATGGGGTGCCAAGTGAGGAGCCATGGGTGCAGAGGTAGAGCGATGGGGGTGCCAAGTGAGGAGGCGATGGGTGCCAAGTGAGGCGGTGGGGTGCCAAGAGGCGGTGGAGAGTGGAGTGCAGGTGAGGCGATGGGGTGCCAGGGTGAGGCGATGGGTTGCCAGAGGTGAGGGGGGTAGAGTGCCAAGTGAGGGCGGTAGAGTGCCAAGTGAGGCGGTGGAGTGCCAAGTGAGGCGATGGAG